CTTATTTGGTGAAACTCGTGATGCAATTCTGCTTTTGGTTCGAGGTCACGACTATCTGGTCTTGTGTATATGATGCTGTTTGATTGCTGAAGTTCACTATTGCTCATCTTCCTTGCAATTTGGTATCGGAGCTGTGGTACGATTGCGCTCATCTGGTGCTTGTCTTCTGCCTAATGCGGTACATACATGCGGTCTGCTTGGTGAGTTGGGCCGTAAGTAGTGTGTGGTGAGGAGGGCGGAGACGAGTGAGTGGCGACCTAGGAGGTGAGGGGTTCGCCAGGAAGGCTACGTGGTGTAATGTGGGTCTGGACAGTGTGATGAGAACTATCTGATGGTTGATTGAAGCGAGACAATGCTGGTTGTGCCGATGCAGTGACTGATCATCACGCAGTCGCCATCAGGTCATCTGGTGAGATTATCTTTGTGGTTCGGGGCAGCTATTTGATGTACGTTGCTCTTAACCTTATCTAACCTCTTCGACACTTCTTACCGTGAGGTTGTGTTCCTTCTTGAGTGTCCTCTCATTGTGAGTGTCGAGTGCGCTCAACCTTGAGAGTCGGCAATGTTCACGTGGAGCATTTGGGAGAAGATGGGTGGAGCTTTCTGAAGGGCCCTGGACGAAGCATTGGGTCACGGTCACCATGCCAACCCACTGGGAGTAGAGCACGCATGCTTTGCTGCTTGTTCTTTGTTCGGCTTGCTGCGCTGTTAGATGGGTACTGAAGGGCAGGCCAGCCCTAAGTGGGAGACGAGTACCGGGCGTCTTTAAATAAACACCGGCAGGGGAAACCATTGGTTGTGATCGTCGTTCTGTTTGCGACATAAAACAATTCCTTATGACACTTGGGGGCGGTCGTTAAATTGCCTCTGGATCAGCCAATGGTTGTAAGCCTCGCTGCACGCGAGGATAATCCAGTGCAGGGCTGGCCAGCTCAGCAGATACTCGGGGCATAGGGGTGGGCCGAACACACACCTTTTAGACACGCAACGCTCTCTGGATTGCTCAGGGACGCTGACGTCAAGTGACATTCAGGGGAACTAAGGGAGGGGTAAATTTCAGGTGATCAGTTTGAGAAAAATTCCATACCGCTCTCCGGATTGCTCAGGGACGCTGACGTCAAGTGACGTTCAGGGGAACTAAGGGAGTGGTAGATTTCAGGTGATCAGTTTGAGAAAAATTCCATATTGTCCTATCCACACAAATGATTCTATTTTTATGTTTTGATTAGTTAGATGTACAACCATATGACATCTGACATACATCATAAGTAGAACTGTCTCAGTTGAATGTGCATTCTGTTCGCGGACTAATCAGACTAAAAATAGTATCGTTTGTAGGAATCTGACTTACCTGCTGGGCCCGAATGTATAGTCTCTGACATAGCCACCGATTAATTAGTTGTTTATTTTAAATTGGTCTGCACATTACCCTGCGGTAGGCATCTAGAGTGCACTAGTGCAGACTGTGTGCAGTGCTGTAGCTTATGAGCGACAGGGAGGACACTAAAGAGGACGACCGGATCTTGCGATCGGCTAGACGCCCGATTGCCCACTTGGCATTAGGACCAGAGGGCGATAGGTACCTGTTCCGCCAGCGTAGGGAGAGGTTGCAGCAGCAGAGGAGGGCCAAAGCAGCAGGGGCTAGCAGGTCAGTTGTGAGGCCGCAGCTTCGGAAGCCATGGCCACCTCTATGCAGTAGACTACTCAGGCCGGTAGTTCAGGATCTGTAGGGTCAATGGTCGCGCATACCCAGAGTCAGTCCGCTGGCGTTATGGCAAGCCAGCCATTGGTGTTGACACCCGAGGAGGTCGGCATACAGCGAGCTGCTGCTCACGAGGCACAACTTCAACAGGCTTTAGGAGAGATTAAGGCTGAGAAAGAGAGAATGATTAGGAGAAGAGTCAGGATGCAGAGGAGAGAAGCGAACGTTAGTGCGTTAGAGGAGATGAACCCTGCAGAGATGGATGATGATGTGAGAACCAGACGGTCGGTCCTGTTAAGTGTAGTGGAGATGCAGGATCACCAAATGGATATCTTACAGGATATCCATCAGAGTCTGGCTGTGTTAGTCGGGCGGATGCAGGCGACACCATCACCGTCCGGGCCAGGTGCCTGGCCCGTTGGACATCCTCCTCCTTTTGTTCCATCGGTGACTGGGGTATCCCCATATGTAGCCACATCATCGGTTGCGATCGTTTCCCTGGGCATGCCGTTATCAGGAGGGCTCTCAACAGGTCCTAGTTTGTAGGTTCCAGTACAACCAGTGTACTCCCAACCTCGGTTGCAGATTGCAGTTACAACGCAACCTGCTGTCTCGCAGCCTGTACAGCCGCAGGGTACACAACCCCTGCAGCCAGTGCAGCCGCCTGTATCACAGGGTCCACAACCCAGTGGGATGCAGGGACCGGGACAAACACAGTGGGTACCAAAGACGACCATCGCTGCTCCTAAGCCCTTCACAGGGGATAAGAGGGGCGAAGACCTCGACACATGGTTGAGGGCAGTGCCCGTCTATGTCAAGTGTAAGCTTACCTTGCCGCACGAGGAAGTGCTTGTGGCTGCATTCTACGTAGAAGGTAGTGCAGCACGATGGTTGAGCGGTTTAGTGCAACTTCAGGGGTACGGTCACGACTTCCGCGCTTGGGTGGTCACCCAGCAATTGGACGACTTCCTTAAGTTGGTGGAAGAAAGGTGGCATGATCCTCAGGAGGCCCAAAAGGCCACTGATGCGATCTTGACACTGCACACGAGGCAGTTTAAGTCAATAAGGGAGGCCACCGACGTTGTAGAGCATCTGATCTGTGTCCCTGGGGTGCGCTATGACCCCCAGGTTTTACTCACCTCCTACCTGAGATGCTTCCTATGCCTCTCAGGAATCAGTTGGCAGGTGAGGCCAACATCAACGTTCACAATTTCCCCTCGTTCAGCAAGAAGGCCCTAGACCTTGAAGCAAAGATAGTGCATGGACGTAATCCCACAACGGACGGTAGGAAAAAGACACTGCCTCCCAACTGGAAGGCGAAGGGCCGCATTATGTTTGTCGATAACGATGGTTCAACCATCGAGTTAGACGACAACTTCCAGGAAGGAGTAGGTACAGAGGCTGACAGCGTAGAAGCTTCAGGGGGTGGAATTGGCGCTGCTGTAACTCAGAAAGGTAAGGCGACCGGTAAACGTGGTGGAGGCTCCCGGTCAAGGAGTCAAGTTGACCCCAACGCTCCCCCATGGGAGAAGGCGGGTCTCACAGAGGACGTGTGGAGAGATCGGTACACAAGGCAGGCTTGCATTCGTTGTGGTCAATACGGCCATAACCAATTCAAGTGCCGTAACAAGAAGGTGACCGATAAGATCCCGCCTACGATGGGGCAGGCGTTGGGATCCTCCCATCCCGTTGGTAGCAACGTAGCTAGTACTTTGGCAGTGCTTCGGGAAACACGTCGGGCCAGTAGGAATAGTAGCTGTTCCTGCTAGGGTCGAGGTGGTGGAGACACCCTCACCATCTCGAGAGATGGCCCAAGCTATTGACTCGAGCGTCGTCCTGCAAACACGTTCAGACCCATCGAGCCTCTGTTCGATGAATGTGTTTGAGTCCTTAGAGGAGCTAGAGGAGGAGTGGTCTAGATCAAACCCACTAGCTTCTTGGACGGCTCTAGTCAAAGCCCCGAAGGGTGAGATGTTCACCAGCGAGGTGGTCATTGGCGGCCGCAAGGCCGGGGCCTATTATGACACTTGCTCGACTAGGAATTTTATCAGTCGCGCGTGCGTTGAGAAACTGCGCTTACAGGGGCAAGTGCAGCGCCTGAGTCGACCTGTGGAGTCGACCTGTGCCAACAAACAACGCATGGTAGTCAACGACTACCTCCAGGATGTTGAGTGTTGTTTCCCGTACGCAGGAGGGGAATTGAGACATCGCGTCTCGTTCCTAGTGAGTGACGAGCTGTCCATGGTTATGTTGTTAGGTATGTACTACCTCTCAGTGGCACAACCCCAGTTTGACTGGGATCGAAAAGTGGTCAAACACACTTTGCCAGGTGGAGGGACCGCCAGATTGCGTAAGTTCAAAGCTAGTAGTTTGATTGAGTCCCATGGATGCATGTGTGCGGCCGCGTTCTATAACTACTATAAGCAAAATCAGGAGGAGGGTATGTACCTAGTTTATGTCTCTGCTGCAGGCGAGCCGGTGAAAATGCCGCCAAAGATAGAGGGAGTAGTTGCCAAGTACCCTGATGTATTTGAAGAGCCGACAGGGGTTGTAGAGAGGGAGGTCGTCCACGCAATAGAGATTATCCCAGGGTTTAGCATCCCGAAGGGTAGGATCTATCGGATGTCTCCAGGCGAGCTCGATGAGCTTCGCCGACAACTTAAGGAACTTGTAGAGAAGGGTTGGATCCGGCCGAGTGTCTCTCCTTATGGGTCTCCAGTATTATTCGTACCTTAGAAGGAGGGAACACTAAGGATGTGCATTGATTATAGGGGCCTCAATGCCATCACTGCCAAGAACAGAGAGCCCCTACCACGCATCGACGATTTGCTAGATAGAGCGCAAGGGTGTCGGTACTTAAGTAAGATAGATCTGAAGTCCAGGTATCATCAGATTGCAATCCGGCCCGAGGATCAACACAAAACCGCCTTTCAGACCAAGTACGGTCTGTACGAGTTTGTGGTGATGCCTTTCGGTCTTTGCAATGCTCCTGGCACCTTTCAACACGCTATGAATCGGATCTTTCATGACTACTTGGATAAGTTTGTCATCGTGTACCTCGATGACGTACTTATTTTTAGTAAGACTGTCGAGGAGCACGTTGCGCATTTGGACAAAGTCCTCAGTCTCCTGCGACATCACAAGTTCAAGATCAACGGTGAGAAGTGCGAGTTTGGTTGCACCCGTGTCTTGTACTTGGGTCATGAGATTTCCGCGGAAGGGTTGAAGCCCGATGACGCGAAGGTGGCCAACATTTGTGAATGGCCACGTCCTCAGTATGTGACTGAGATGAGATCTTTCTTAGGGATGATAGGCTACTATAAGACTTTCGTGAAGAACTATAGCATAGTGGCCGCTCCTTTGACTGATCTGACCCGCCTTCACACCCCATGGGAATGGACAGACGAGTGCGAGGTTGCTTTCAGACATCTGAAGCATGCGTTGACGCACTATGAGGTCTTGAAACTTCTCGATCCTGATAAGCCATTTATAGTCACCACGGATGCCAGCCAATATGGCATTGGCGCCGTGCTTGCGCAGCAGGAGGGGCCAAAGTTGAGGCCTGTTGAGTACATGTCCAAGAAAATGCCATCTCAGAAGTTGGCTAAGTCCACTTACGAGAAGGAACTCTATGCGGTTTACAAGGCTCTGACCCATTGGAGGCACTATCTCCTTGGGAGGTTCTTCATCCTCAGGACTGATCATCAAACCCTGAGATGGATGAGAACTCAGTCGGTGCTCTCTGACGCTCTCAAGCGTTGGATCGAAGTCATTGAGCAGTACGACTTTGACCCGCAGTATCTGAAAGGGGAGTACAACAAGGTTGCTGATGCCTTGTCGCGTAGACCTGATTTCTCAGGTGCGCTGATTACTGAGTTCGATCTTGCGGATTACTCAGTCCTTGGTGGAAGCCTATTGTGAGGATCCGTTCATGTCTTAGATCATCCGCAGACTCGAGGCAAAGGACAAAGTGACTTCTGTCGAGTTTGAGTTGGTCAAGGGCTTGTTGTTCCTTGAGAAGGCAGGGAATAAACATTTGTGTGTTCCTAATAGGGAGTCTTTGCGTAGTTTATATTTAGGCGAGTGTCATGATGCCACCGGCCATTTTGGGTACAAAAAGACCGCAGCTAATCTGCTGCAGCGGTTCTGGTGGCCCACGATGATGCGAGATGCTCAGTTGTACGTGGAGACTTGTCAAGTCTGTCAGAGGGACAAGCCACGTACGGAGGCTCCTCTTGGGCTCTTGAAGCCCCTTCCGATTCCGGAAAGGCCTGGTGAAAGCTTGTCCATGGACCTCATGGATACACTAGTCACCAGCAAGAGTGGAATGAGGCACATCTTCGTTATCGTGGACAGATTTAGTAAGTATGCTAGGTTAGTAGCGATGCCGGAAACAGCAAAAACGGAGTATGTGATTAGAATGTTCAAAGAGAACTGGGTCAGGGATTTTGGTTTACCGAAGTCCATTATAAGTGACAGGGATGTCCGATTTACCAGCGAGTTGTGGAAGGCCGCCGCTGTGGAACAGGGAACACAGTTGCAAATGACTTCTGGGAACCACCCAGAGGCCAATGGCCAAGCCGAGCAACTGAACCGCGCTGTCCAACACCTGCTAAGGCATTACATCAAGCCTAACCAGGTGGACTGGGATGAGAAGCTTGCTCTCATCGCCAGCCTGTACAATAGCGTGGTACACAGTGCTACCGTGGTGAGCCCAAACTGCTTACTACTGACTTTTAAGCCTAGACTACCCTTGGATTTTCTTCTTCCTGAGAACCATGCAACTGCTGCTCCGGGTACCTTAGAATTTGCTTACCGGTACGAACAGAAGATGCAGCAGGCCGTAGAACAGATGCAGAAGGCACAGGCGGCTATGATAGAATCTGCGAACAAACATTGCCGTGAGCCTTCATTTCAGGTTGGGGACAGAGTCTGGGTCAAGTCCTCAAAACTGGGACAGGAGCACGAGATCTCCCGCAAGCTCATGCCACAGTACTTTGGACCATGGGAAGTCTTAGATATTGTTGGGACTGATCCGGAGGGACCTTCTTACATAATCCGGATCCCTGGTCATCTTCGTACTTACCCTGTCTTTCACGCCTCCAAACTTGCACCTTTTGAAGAAACTGATCAGTTCCCCCCTCGTCGCTCAATGCTGCCCCCAACCATGGACGGAGAGGTGGATATCGATGATATCGTGGACCACAGGGAGCTGCCAGTGTCAAGACCAACAGGCAGGGGACGTCCTCCGAAACCGAAGCTGCAGTACCGCGTCCGGTTCCGGCATCACACTGATCCAAAGGAGGACCGCTGGTTCACCAAGGAGGAACTCATGCAGACCGCTCCGCAAGTTGTAGCCCATTACGAGAGATCTCTGCRGAAGGGAAAGCGCCCAATGGTTGAAGACTGAGCTTCTCAGAGGACTGTTGAAGCTAAGGAGGAGGGAATGTGAGGCCACTGCCTCTATGAGCCCCATTCGGCCCCATTTCGGAGCAAGTCGGCCGCCCTAAGTGAAGGCAGGCTCGACGAGGCCCTCAGGGCCCTATTTCGGCCACTGCGCAACTAAGGAAATTCAGGCAGTTGCGCAGCGCCAGTTGGTTGAGAGAACCCAGGCCCTGGGCCGCCTGTGTGAATGTATGGAAAGCAGGCCCTGGGCTGGATACGGGTACTGGGCCAAACACAGGCCAAAGGCAGTTGGATGCGTGCAACCACCTCAGGCCCAAGGCCTGTTCTCGTTCGTGTTGGGCCTCAGGCTACCGGGGCCTACTGGAAGCTTCCTGGGACTGAACGCAGGCA